AACTAACATGACTACAAGCTTGACTAATATTGATGATTATCCATTAACATCCTATATTTTTTAATTATACATTACATTTTAAATGAACTACACAATCACAATACCTTAATCAAGAGCAGAAATACATACACATATAACAAGATTGACTTTACAATCCATACTAATACAAATTATTCATATCTATATCATATTCCCCTTTAACTTTAAAAGAACATTTATAAACAATATTTGGGAATATGGGCACAGTTTTTTCTTTCCAAACTGTTTCGTGCTGAATGGGGGCGCTGTTAATCAGATCTTTCATGGTGAAACCTGTATGCCAGGTTCATCTTAGTCAGCAGTTGAGTGAAGTAATTTTTTGAGGGTGTTCACAACAACCTCTCAGGGGTGTGTGGTCTATAATACCATATTGGGATAGAAGCAATCCACAGGATCTCATCCTCTGTGAAAACAAAAGAAGACCCTCTCCAAAGCATCATATCTTTAGACCCAAATTCTGAAGTCAAGATACCTTTAGAACATATATGTTCAGCATAGCAGCCCACACAATGAAATGTCTCTCTGTATTTAGCTCTTCCACAATTAAAAATTGAAAGAAAACACAATGTATATAATCCAGACTCTGTGAATTTTCCATTTTTAGTTGGCTTATTTTTCTTTATTTCTTTTAATCTATAACTCTGTCTCTTTAAAGACTTTACCCTCATTTTTAAGACATTAACTTTATTCTCTATATTCCTTTTCTTCTCTCTTACAAGCCTACGTACACTCATCCAACACAGTAACCCATTTAGAGGCCTTTTATGTTTGAATCTGTCATATTGTAAATCTGTAATTTTTTACTATCCAGGAGCATTTTTGCTTTGCAGTTTTAAATCACTAAGCATTTAATAAATTAAGCTGTGTCATTCTTAGGTCAAAAACAAGTACTGCCTGCTTGCCCCACCCAGTCTAACAAGGCAGAGCTACTTGTGACTCTGAACCAGTTGCTTGCGGCTCTGGAGCAGTGGGCTGCTCTGGATGTTTGCTCCACTTCTCTCCAATTTCAAAATGGAGGACATACCATTTTTACTAGCTCTGGGGCTGCCAAGTAGGAGCCACACTCAGCATTTAACTCTGAGACTGAGCATGTGGCACCGAAACTCTTTTCCTCCAAGTTACAGCCAAATCTGACAGGCAGAGCACTGTGCAGCCTGGAAACATCTCTCTGTATGGCTGCAGGAATCTGACATGCTCTCCTGCCTGCCTAAGCCTGATCCCACAGTCTGCCCAGGCGGGGAGCACATGCATGGTCTCAGAGTACTTTCTTTCCAATCCTGAGCAGGCACACAAACATCCAGTCCCATAAAAGCCATTGAAATGCTTTAAGGCCAGATTTTGCACTGATGGCACAGCCCCAGGAAGCCACGTTTTAAAATGACTGTTTTTTTTTTTTTTCTGCCACTATTGCTGAAACAGAAAATTTCTCTACGGCATGTCCTAGCAAAGAGCAAAAAGCTGTGTTAAACTCTCTCTCCTTTTTTTTTTTTTTAAGCCCTCTTAGGTTTTTAAGTGGATTCAGTTACCACATTGAGAAAATGCTCCTGGATAGTAAAAAATTACAGATTCACAATAAAACAGATTCAAACATAAAAGACCTCTAAATGGGTCACAGGGTTGGATGAGTGTGCATAGGCTTGGGAAAAAAAAGAAAATGAATATAGACAATAAAGTTAAAGCCTTTCTTTTTTGTTTAAACAGAAAAAGGGGAAATGATGCAGGAGGGTCATCTGTCTATGTGTTACTTTCATTGGTTAATAAAGAAACTGCCTTGGTCCTTTGATAGGACAGAAAATTTGGTAGGTGGAGTAAACAGAACAGGATGCTGGGTAGAAGGCAATGAGGCAGATGCCTTAGGCAGTCACCATGATTCTCCGACCCCAGACAGACATTGGCTAGAATCCTTCTCAGTAAGCCACCACCTCATGGTGCTACACAGATTATTAGAAATGAGTTAATCAAGATGTGAGAGTTAGCCAGTAAGAGGCTACAGATAACGGGCCAGGCAGTATTTAAAAGAATACAGTTTCCATGTAATTATTTTGGGTAAATCTAGCCAGTTGTCCGGAGCTGGGAGGCAGGAAGTGGCTTGCAGCTCCTTCTACAATATTTTATATAAATAAATGACTCAAAATCTTCACAGTGAAATTTCTACTTAGCCCTGAAATAATCACATATTATTTAAATCTCTGTTTGGCCCATTAGCTTTAGATTCTTATTGGCTAACTCTTACATCTTAATTGAACCAATCTCCATTAAGCTGTGCATCACCACTAGGTCATAACCTACTGGCAAAGCTTCAGTACATCTGTCTCCTGCAGCAGCTCCATGGTCTTTCTTTGATTCTGCCCTTCTCTTTCCCAGCATTCTAGTTCTGTTTTGCTCATGCCATAGGCTCAAAGCAGTTTTTTATTCATTAACCAATAAAAGCAACACACAGACAGAAGGACTTCCCACACCAATATAGTTCACAGATTCATTCATCAAAGTAGCAAGATGCAAAAGTATAATGCAAAAATCATTAGATTTATGCTTCTTCCTCCATGTTCAGCAGTTCCTTTTCAGGAAGATACTAGATTAGTTTCATGCCATCAACTCTATCAACCTCAGAGACCCAAGGACTGTCCCTCCTCAGGGAGACATTAGACATACTCTAGCCCACTTCCATGCTATGACTAAGGACCATGAGTACAGAAACTGTCTTTGACCCACCCAATCTTCCATGCTAGTCTTCTGTAAGAGATCTCAGATATACATTGGTAATTCCTTCTCATCCATCCATTGTCTGAGGAAAAATTCTGGGCACCTCTTTCAGACTCTTTAAGATTGACTATGAGAATTTTAGAATTTTATAAAAGGTCTGCTCCTGGAATTAAAAACACCACTTAGATTTAACTAAGCAAGGATCACTTCTGATACTCCATTCAAACATACACACTAAGTTACCCAAAGAATGAACCCTACATTACATACAGGTGGTCAACATTGGAGCAACAGGAAACAAATTTTTAAATACCCACTCAATAAAAGAGAAATAATTTCCATGTCAAGAAACACCATCAAAAATGTAATTCCAGATACATAGGTCCTGTCTTAGATTTTTATTGCTATGACAAATCAGCATGATAACAACTCTTTTTTCTTTAATCTCAGTTTACTGACAATACATAAACAAAACACTATTGAATTTACAACTTTTTCTCATTTTTTTACTTTTTAAAAAAAGGAATCAAATTATCTTTTTTCATCTTACATATCAATACCAGTTCCCACTCCCTCTCCTCCTCCCACACTTCCACCTACTATCCCACCTCACCC